GACGAGGGGCATTTTAACCCTAGCCCCGAGTGCCTTCTTGCCTTCCATGGAGGCTACTGCCATAGCTACCTCTCTAGTTTCCTTGTCTTTAATCTTAACCAGGTCCAAGCCACTTTTACACAGCCACTAAAATGACTTAAAAAAAAACAACCCACTACGATTATATCCACAAGTTCAAACCATTTTAATGGCTTTGTGAAAGGATTGTGAGTGCGCAGTGTCAAATAGAGTAAGGCGTGTAAATCAGGAATCAAGCGGCCTGTGTTTGGGTTTCAAATATCAAAACTAATTTGATGGTTTGGGGCAAGCTAGCTTCTCACACTTGTTTCCTGAAATATAAGACATTTGTGTAACGTGCCGAAAGCTCTTAAACACCTTTTGTACTTTGTTATTATTTGTTAAGCATTTATTGGATATTAAACATGTACAAGGCACTTTCCTTAAAACAGTTTTATTTTAGGATGAAGGCATTGATGCTCAAACAAAGTAAGGTAACTTGGCTACCATTACGCAAGCAACTAATTAATACGGAGCTAGAATTTGAAGTCTAAATTGAACATAGGCTACCCCCGACATTTCCTTCCGTACAGTACTTCTCAAATATTGCTGTTGAACTGCCTCTATGAAGAATGAAGTAACATGTATATACCTAGAATGTCTGTAGACATATTTGATCTTAATATGAATATTGTGTAACTGCTTCACAATATAACGATACTAGATTGGAGTTTTAAATGTTTTTTTGTGTGTGTGTTGTGTGTGTGTATAAAAAGAAATAAATTTATGTACTTAAAAGAAATGGTTGACGCAGTTGTAGAAGTAGTTAAGCCCAGCCTGGTTCAAGTCCATGAATCAGATGTTAGTTAAAAGCTGGAGACTTTTCTGAATTCACGTATCTTCCAGCCCTAATAAAGTAGGAAGATAAGCCAGGAAGTAGGAAGACTACAGGCCTGGGGTTAGGCAGAGGTAGATGAATCTGAGGTCCGCAAAATCAGGCTCATAGCTGTAGGGATGAATGAATCCAAGTTGTCAGGCCACCACCAGTAGCTAGCTCCCAGGGTTGGTGGGTCGGTGAGCCATATGCAAGATCCAGACCAGTAAGAAGTAGTGGGATGCCCTCCCACAGTCTGCTTAAATTAAAGTAAGCTATACATCCAACCCCTTGTGCCATAGTGGTTAGTACCAAGATCCCCAAGGTCAGCAATTTGATACCATCAGCTGCTCTGGAGGAGGAAGACAGGGATTTCTACTCCTGTAAACAGTTACAGTCTGGGAAACTCTAACCTGCCCTATAGGGTTGTTATGAGTTTGCATCAACTCGATGAAGGGGAGATTTTTTTTATGCACCCCCCAACCTCCACCCGCTAAGGAGAGGAGCCCTGGTGGAGTAGTGGTTATGCCTCGGGTCGCCAACCACAGGTAAGGTTAACTGTGTGAAACCACTAGCCACCCCAAGGGTCAAAGACGAGGCTTTCTACTTCTGTAAAGAGTTACAGAAAACCCACAGGGGCAGTCTACCCTGCCCTGCAGACTCACTGTGAGGCGGCTTTGACTCAATGACAGTGAAAGAGATTTCCATTCGACTTTGACCTGATCAAGACTTTCTTTCTATTGAAGCTCAATCTTTCCATGATTGCATGCGTGCTCACTGTACAGTCTATCATGGAGTTGATTATATTATGTTAGATCACATCATGATAGACTCCCAGCCCACCCAAGTTGACATAAAACCTATCACATTATCATTGTGAGGAAAATGGCAAGTTATGCCTTATCTGAATGGCCTCGTTTAAGCTTTTCACTCTGGTTTAAATCACTCTCATTTTCTTAGAATTTAGCCAAGGATATTTTTACCATTAGTTATTTCCTTCTCCTGCTTACAGTGAATTCGCCATTAGCAGTTGGATCTGTCTGTATATTTGGATTCTTATTGACCAAACAAATAACATGCTGTAAAGTTAATATAGTTTTGAAGGATTTTTGTACTTGTTCTGTTAGAACTAAACATTGCTTAAATAAAATAGGGAGTACATAATGTATTTTGTTGTTGTAATTCCATACCTCAGACAAATATTAAATACATGTTTTAATAGAGATTGGAGCATTGTGGAGAGAGGAAGATTATACAGAAGTGCTTGCTAATTACATAGCCATATTGTCTTGTGCTGCTTGGGGAAGTATAGTAGTGAAGGCAGAGATAACGTGTACTTCCTAATCACAAACGCAGAATGTGCAGTTTTGCTTAATTTTCTGATAAAGCAAAACTGAAGTGATACTAATTCCTTTTTATTTTCATAGAGAGGTGTGACAATTATGTAGCAATTAAGAAAGGTGCTTTAAATAGTTTGTTCTCTTACAAGTTCCTAAATGTCTACTATGCATAGTGTGGGAATTGCACCCGATCTGATCCCGCCACACTGAGGCAAAGCACTGGGGGAATGCAGCGGAACTACAGGGGCAGGGAGCAGCAAGATCCCCAGGGAATGATGAGGGTGGACATTGGGGACAGGGCATGGTGCCCCAACAGGCTAGACTGGAAAACACAAGCTTTTCTTTCTTGGTATATTTTAATTTGTT